TTTCCTCCGGCAAGAAACTGGCTGGTGGCACTTTGTGATCTCGCGCGAGGCTGCTTATTCGGCCAGCAGCGTACTGTTTCCCACTCGTGCGAGTACTCATACTCCAAAGATAATGATATGGCACCGGTAGCAGATCAACCACGAGGTCCCTGTGTCCTGAGGTTTCCCGAGAATCGTAGTAAGTTAGTACCGGCACCAGCAACCGGTGAAGACTACTCAGCATCATATGAACTGTATGATACCCCGGTGTCTGTCTTCCTCCAGTCAGCTGAGAACTTGCGATTCCAACTCCAGAGGCCGCTACCCAATATCAGCGAAGCCCGTAAGCAATGGAGGTATCGGTTGGATGCCTGACTAGACCCCGCTAGAAAAGGCAAAAAGATCGCAATCATTTTCTTGAGCTGCTTTTGCCGTCTGTGCCCTTGGATCAAAAAATAAAAATAGAAAATAAAGTCCGATCGGAAATATCTTACCGGTAATCGATAAGAGTATGTATGATGAGAGTCAATCCCTGAACTCCTTCCTCAAACAGCTGAGTTAAATGTGCGTTGTGATGATGAAGCCCACCGATGCTTCAAAACCAGCACCCGTACTCGTACAAGAGCATGAGCCCATTAACCCGAAAGTACAGGGATGCATTTAGCTAGTTAACCTCATATAACCGTTTCATACCTTTTCTCCCCAGACCTTGGCACATGTATGGCGTCTCATTTTGTGGCATTCGGTTACCATGGGAGGCAACACCGTGCCGAGAAGGGCAAAGACCGCGCTCCCCCACACCACAAGCATCATACCCCCCCGGCACTCGTACTATCACAGTCACGATACTGTACTGTAGAAGGGCAATAGTCTAAGCTCTGCTCGAGTGGGAGCATATCCTCCACAGCAATACCCAGTGTTCCTCGAAAACCACGGCAATTGGCGTACTCGAATACATCAGGGTATCAGCACGGGGAAAAGTACTAGCGTAGCTAACCGGACTGTCCGTTGATGATCAGCATTTCACAGGCTTCACAATCTACGAGTACTCGAGTAGACTACCCTGCTCGCACGGCGCTGCACTCCCGACTCGAGTACTCGTACAGTACCGACTCTAGTGTCGATGCCCTAAGCTCAATCGATATACTCATGCAGGGTGGTGTGGGGATGCAACCATCTCGCTTCTGATCCCGCACAATTTGCGCATCGTACCGTACGTACTGTACTCGAGTACTCAGCCCCATACAAATCCAGTCCCGTTGGAATTCCAAACACGACTAGCGCTTGGGGCAAGTGGCGAGAACTGACCAAACATTCGCTGCTCGAGAAAGCATAAAAGGGTCCCTCTCCCCCCCCTCCATCTGGTCTCTCCCCACCAGCCGCGACGCGAGCAATCTAATCAACTTCGCATCCAATCTTCAAACTCTTAACTTTTTAAACCAATTTCCCCACCTCAAACACGAATCATCAGCATGGGTACCTGCGGCTGTGAAACTTCTGGTACCTGCGCCTGCGGTTCAAGCTGCACTTGTGATAACTGCCCCGTGAGTGCCAAGTTTCAGTGTGCGCCCCTCTCTCTCCCTTGCCAGTTTGCTAATATCTCCTTGCAGCACAAATAAATTAAGATCCCACGAGATCCGTCCCCCACTCGTACCTTGTGCCTCACCATGGCGGTAACGAACAACGCCGGACAATCATCGTAGGCACGGGAAGCGGTGGATTTGTGGGTCGGATGGTTACGGTCGAAATGCGTTCAGCAAAAGGGGTGAAGGCTGGAGGTGCCTTTTTCGTTTGTTTTTGATGTTTTTTAAACGGAATCCGTCTTTTCAAATATCGCATGGTACCGTGAGCTGTCACGGAGACCAAATCAGTGAGTGTGTTTTCCCTACTTTGTAGGGCTGAAATAAAAAACCTTTACTTTCGTTCGCCTGCATTTCAATCATCCCAATGTTCTGCAAAACAAGTGAAAAGAAAAGAAACACAACCCAGGGAAAATGCGGCATCGTAGATACAATTGTAACATGGGTTATGTGCGATACCTTAAGCTAGGCCCGTAAGCTGAGCTTGGCCGGCTATAGACCCCCGCCAGAATCTTTCTATTCTTCTACCCTGTCTCTTGGAGCCATCCTCAGTGAAAACCCTGAAGGGAGCTCGCCTGGCCAGTACGTGCCGGTATTACGGTTTTCCTTCTCTCATCCCGAATATCCTGTGCGCCCCATATCAGCTAGCAGGGGTACTCGAGTACTGTACTAGTATCTTCCCAAGAAGTAACTGCTGGATCTGTAGGTGTTGTGATCAAGTTGTTAGAGGGCAAGTTTAGAGCCGAGGGAAAAAGCCCTTACAATTTGAAGGCATGGTGCGCTTCTAGGTTAGCAATCACTGTATATTGAGATATCCAACTTCCTGCCTTGTCGCCGTACAGTATTCTCACCCGCCTCTATGCGCTCAGCTAGTTCCGTTCTCGCCATCACGATTCGGGTAGCTAGAACATACCGAGGAGTGAGAAGTACTCGCACTAGGCACGACAGCCGAGTGGACTACCCCACTGCCCCACCTGTCGATCGAGCACGTTTGGGAATTCCGCGCGTAGCCCCGAGGAATTCCCAGCATCAAGACCCATATCAGAGTTTAATTCCTTATGCTGCCGTGAATACCCGTGGGAGGCGCCTTCAGGTACGATACTCAATTAGCTATACTATCCATGCGCCTCCAGGATTTTACCGGTGGGATTCTGGGGTGAACACTTTAACCAGTACCGGTACTATGATATTTCTAGGAGAAGCTCCCCCAGACCAGCAAACCCCCGCCTCACGGAACCAGGCGCATCCAGTCAGTCTAAATCAGCAGGTTGCGCTTGACAACCCCTGGGTTCCGAAGGATTGCTGTGTTCCAATCATCGTCAATCCTCCGTCGTGCAGCTTTCGAGATAGCTACAATACGACAGCTTAAAGGTTCGTCACATAATCATCTGTGCACCAACTCTAGGGTTCTCATGATTCTGCACCCGGTATTAACAGTTTATCCGAGCACTGGTGTGAAGGCAAATTTCGGCCTAATACATGCCCAGTAAGCCTTCCTTGTCATGCGCATGCGGTTAGGCAGCAGAGGGGACGGATATCATACGCACGGGGAGCTGTACTAAAAGAAACACTATGTCACCGGCGTTGATGACTTCGCAGGTCTGTCACGGCAGGGGTTGTACTATTCGTGTGGATTAACGTCTTGCCGGGGAGTTGATGCCGTAAATTTGTCAGGGCTAGGGCCACTAGGTGGAAAATTGCAGTTAGCCCCGGACAGATCGCAAAGCTTCCTTCTTCAACCTCACTTTTTACTATGAGGTTAATCTGATTAGAGGGCTTTCAAACCAGCAATCACGGACCAGTTACTAATTCACGAGCCCTGATTCCCAAGCCATGCGTAGTCATCCAATGGCGTGATACTCCTTGTAACTCCATAGCTAAAAAATAGGAATAGAGGAATTCCAGGTCCTATCAGATACCGCTGGCAGGTCCACACCTCCGAAGAGCCTCGTTTGGCCAAACCCCAAATCTCCCGCAATTATCTCTCACGAAAACGATCAACCCCTGAGCTCGGCCCAGTAGAGTACTAGCTCTTTCCCAGATGCTTTGAAGGCAAAAGCACTATCTGTCCGACGTCGCAAAATCTATCAGTGGTGATTGGGGACTGTTGAGGGTGGTCATAAGCGTGAAGTTGTAGAGGAGGTGGTCTGAGACGATGAGGGAAACACTATTTTCCAGGCTCTATATGGCAGCCTTGCCCTCCACCTCGACTACACCTTGCCTATTTAGTCAATCTCTTAAAAGAAGCGGAAATGTTTTCTTTTTTTCCCGGAATAACATCAGGCAGCAGCGGAGCCTTTTATACCCTCACCTCTCCCCACTCGTGTGCCCCTCCAGTAGATACCCTATCGAAGAAGTTCGTCCACTCCACTTTATGGGCAGAACAGAGGTTCTGTATCTTTCTAGTGTTTTTCGTTCATTAAAAACAATCAGAGTTTGTTGCGGTGGAGTACCTCAAATTCCGGCATTACCCTTAAGGAAATAATAGTAAACAGTCAGTACATCAGATTATACCAAGATGGCTTTGTAACTAGAAGCCCTTCCCACCCTCTTGTTGATATATGTAACTCCACCCTCAATAGGCAGATATGATAGTGCCGATAAGGTATCATACAGGTGCCACACGCCCCATTGAGACGGCAAGGATACAACCCCCGAAACAAAACAGGTATGTTTGGGATTTGCGTGGAATTTGTTGAGGCATACTTGAATAGTATCATACACAATTAAATTGAGATACTATTGGGTAGAAACTTATTGGCCTGGGTATAAGGAGGAAAGGTTACTCTTAGAGTTCCAAGTACAGAATCCCCCGTTTGTCCAACTACAATGACCTCTCCCTCGATGATGGTTGGTGAAGGCTACGGAGGGGTGGGGAGATGAGCATCCCCACTCTTATTTCACAGCCGTGACCATTAAAACTAAATCCTCGCCGGGTGTGAAAAGTGGGCAATCGAGTTCCACTGAGCTCATGCATATTGCCCGAGGTGAGTATATGCCTACTGGTGGGGGAGCTTCTGTGTTTGCGTGTGATACACAACCGAAGTCGTCAGTGTCATTGCCATCAGGAAATATTTTGGCCAAACCACAGCTAGGGCACTCGTATATCCTACTATCTCTTCATATCCCTTAATTCGTTTCTCAACACCCCATCAACCTCTTACCTTCCTATCTCTGCGCCTCTTATCTCCCCCAGCTCTTCCCTTGGCTCTAGATGGGAACAATCACTCCAGGGACAGCGGCGAGACGAATCCGCTGAGTAAGAGTCGTTCCAGGGGATAAGGATCTCTCCGCTTCCCCGGTCCATATTCAGAATCAAGGAACGAGTGACTCCCAATGATGCGAAACTACCCAAGATCCCCAACAGCTAACCCTCCGCCGGTCAATTGGTGTCAAAGTGTTCTCGCACCTAGAAGCTTGGTGGCTAAGCCACGCCTCAAAATGGCAAACCTTGAAGTGATCCACACCAATGATCCATGGAAACTTAATCTATTGACTCAAGAGCGCCGTACTATAATTGCAGAAGAGACAGTCAGCCAAAGTAAGTAAAATACCCCCCCCCCTAAAGTGCTAAGAAACTATAAGAGAAAACCTGGTCTCATTCACCCACTGCAAGCTAGGCTCTCGCGTTCCCATGAACACCAGTATGATGGGCACTACTGCCTCACTACTGCCGCTTCGGGGGATAAAAGGCAAACTAGCAGACCCCAACTCCTCCTACACCCATTACAAGCAAGTAAACGTTAACAATCGGTAGCCAGATTAAACCTCCCCCCTATGTGGGCCTAGCAGTGGATCAGAAGCTATCCCACCAATCGCGGAACAGGGGGCTTTTCGTGAATTACACCCCTTCGACAGGCCGATGGGCCAAAGCACCCTTTCCACGTGCTCTTTGGAAGTTCTGTATTCCGCCAGTGCAGTGAGGATCAACTACTACATTCAGCTCTATGCCCTTGGGGATAGGGAAGAATACATTGTAACACCCCCAAGCCCTGGCTCCGAGAAGGTGCCGGAGCAAGAGGAAACCAAAGACATCCCCTCTCGGCGACCTAGCAAAGCTAGAAATACAGTCAAAGGGATTCTAACAGCAAAGGAAGCTCGTCTCGCCATAGAACGAAGCAGACGGAATAATAGTTTCCAACCACGGATACCGTGAGCTAGGCACTACAACCTCCACCCCCGACGCATTACTCGAATGTGTCGGAGGGCAACAGCTGGAGGAGTACCCACGCATATCGACAGCAGGATTCGGAGGGGCATGGGTACATCCAAGGTATTAGTCCCCTGTGCCCAGTCCTGCGAGATCAGGAAGATTCAGCTGCCGGGGCTGACGACTGGTCCACTTCTTCCTCCTCCCTCCCTTCCCCCCTCTTCTCTCCATCTATCTCTCCATCTATCTCTCTGAGATGGCGAGAGTCCAGTAACTGTGCACCATACAAATAAAGAGCGATATTAGCATTAGGGATATCGCACGACGAACCAACACATTGCACGGGACTAGTGGGGTATGAGGACGTGGGCGGGGTTGAGAAGGAACATTTAGCCAGGGCGAGGCCAGACATGAGGTTGTCTAGGTTGCCATGAATGAAGTAGCCCGCGGTATAACAGGTTCCCGCGTGAATCGATGTTAAACACTTACACCCTACCCGCAATATGAAGGTTTATTCACTCTCGTGTGAAGCACGGAATCACTCTATCCTCTGCACTGGTCTGCTGGCGGGTGTGGTGTCTAGGACCCCCCGAAGACAGCCTCAGAAGTCCGAATCATCACCTATCACTCGTATAGGCTCCTGATCTGACATAGTCGATCTATCCACACTCTCACCTCCCCCCGCACAGTTCTTTCCAGCACAACCCCAAAGAGGGGGGGGGCGTCAATGCCGTTGCCCCCGCCTCTTCTTGATCCACTTTAGCTTCCTACCCTCCTACCCAACAGATAGCATCAGTTTAGACCACCAGCGTTTTCCAGGGGTCCTGTCCTCACCCCCTCGTGCTTCAAGCGACCCTAGATAAACAATACCGGACCGTCCTACCCGGGCAGACGACGTCCCCAGCCAATCCGGACTCGTCCACACCGTAGTCTACGGGCAGACAAGGGCTACCTCTCGTCCATAGAAGTTGGTGCTATCGCGGTCACTATAGTGGTTACATGTATCATAGCAGCGATCGTGTACTAGACAGTAAATTCTTCACGCCTCACTCAAGACTGACTGCCAGTATCGAGGTTTGATATCTGCTGAGCGGGTGATTATCATAGCTAATAGAGTAATCCTAGGCGACTACGTTCTGCCTTGTCGATTCTCTATCAACCTATCATAGTTTTTTTTATGGTTTTTTTCACCCTTTCTTTTTTCCTTTAGATGTCTGGCAGTTATGGAACGTGACAAATGTGAAGTGGAGAAAATCTACGAAATATTGGTACCGTATTCCGGGATGACAAGGGGGCAGGAGGGGGGTAATGGCATGAATGGAGGGTTGATGTTTCTGGAGCATTGGTACGGGTGAGTGATATTAAGGACAAGTCTATACTAGTATTTCTGGAGGAAGTGAGGGCTGAAAGGGCCGTTAGATGAGCCGGAGAAATTGTCATGTGCGGCGATGGTCGAATATCTTTGTCCATATATTTCTTTCCTATCTATCTCTATATAAAAATTCTTCAGTCCGAACTCGTCCCCGCTGGATGGAATCTCTGGAAACACTGAGTCGCACAAGGCATAATCCCCCCCCCCCGATCGGCCTGAGGCCGGACAGTATGGGTTTGTGGCCATTTCACGCAACAAGAAACTTTGCCTTCCAGCAGTAACTGAAGAAAAACAATTAAAAAATTCAATGGGAGTGATCATTATCCCTACCTACCAGCAACCACTTTTCTTCCACCCAGAGTAACTTCCATTAAGAACTCGAAGTTATACCCCAACCTGTTCACACCAAAAAACCTCTCGCTGCACCTACTCCCTGCATCGACACTCGAGTAAAGGTATCCAATGGAGCCAATAAACATCCAACCTCCATGATACCGACACTATTCCCCGCCCAGCTTCAACCCACAGAAATGCGTGACTACTCACCCGCGGCAGGTGTTCTTTTGTAGGAAACGGCACATTTGAGACATGATCTCTTGTCCCTTCTTACGGATGGGTGGATGGCTCCGTAATCCCGATTCGGATCTCAGGTGCAAAGTACTTGTAGAATCGGGGTTGGGCCACCAAGTAGTAAAAAGGGAGGAGAGAAAGGCCCAAAGGTAAATCAAAAAATATTGCAGGAGATGAGAGATCAGAAAAGGGAAGGACCAAGAGAGTTTAGAATTCCATTGCCCACACCCGTCATGAGGTGGTTCCCTCAGTTGCCCGACTGATCTGCGTAAAGCAGACATGGAGCTATTCCGGTCCGCTCGCTCCTTCATTTCCTCTGACCTCTTGAAACACCCCTCCTCTCCACAGGCAAACTGCCGGTTTTAGACCACAGATACAGAGTGAGGATTTGATGACCATCTTCGTCATCGACCGCAAGACCCCCCGTGTGCCCCACAGGCACCCTATCCGAATGAAATTATTGGAAGGAAGAAAACAGGAGTAAATGACTGATTGGAAGCAACTAAGATCGATAAAGGCAGGGACTATCAAATCGATGAATGCTGTTCTCCAAGACGAGGGAATAGGAGTGGGAATGGGAATGGGAATGGGAATAATGAGGACGGACGGGGGATGCTAGAAAAGGTGGGAGGGCTGGTCATTTTAAATACCAGATCCAAGCCGCTGCGTATACACGCAATCACCCATGGGGATGGCCGGGCGAGCCGGCCTAGTCTCTGAGATCAGGCATTAGAGAACACAGCACAATACAATGAACAGCCCAAACCAATTTTAACGCAACCCAGTAACTTAAATACATATATACAACCCTGTACCGAAGCCTACCTCCTGGCCTCTTCGAAGGGATATGTGTGCCCAACAACCTTTTCGAATGGTTGCTCCCTTCCAATAACTCTCTCGCGATCCCACGGCCTAACTCTCTGTCCAACGATCTTGACATTCGGGAGGGTCGGAAGGTCAGTTTCGGTGATTAGGATGTCAAAGAGCTTTGTAGGCCGAGGCTTAGCGACTAGATGGGTTACTATTATCCATTAGATATATGTATATAAGATTTGGGGAAGCGGGGGCGGGGTACAAAGATCAGCTACTGTTTTTGTCCGATTAAGATCCGGATCCGCAACCCTTATCCCAGTGAGCCGATAGACTCTTTTGTAAACCTACACTCGATCAACACCCCATCCTAAAAGGCCGGGAGAGCACTTACAGCAAATTTGATATCGTCCCCGCGAAACCCCAACTCTACCCACCCCTTTCCATCCAATCCCTCCTGCAGCCACTCGCCCATAGCACCCTCTTCCACCACTTCCCCCTCAACCCCAGTGCTCAGCTTCAAAACCTCCCCCTCAACACTCGTATCCCCATAATGAAACACCGCCTCTCCATTCTGCCTAACCTCAATACGCACGCGAGGCGTAAACCCCTCTTCCGCAACACTGCCTTCCACCGCTGGAGTATCGACGGGCTTTCCGTTTAGAGCGTGCGTGTAAACCTCCACCACGGCACGATGCATAGCAGCATGAATGGCCTCAGTGCTCGGTGGTCTTGTAACGTTTGCGAACCTAACGACCTCCCGTCAACCCACCAACCCACCATCGATCCATACATTGTGGAAAGAAATGGAAATATGCGCATACGTCTGAACATCCCACTCGGTCAATCCAGGCGCCAAGCCAACGACCGGTAATGCCCTACCATCGCTTTCTTCAATATAACCCTCGCGCTCAGCCTCTTCTTTTGTCGGCTCCTCGACCATGGGAATTTGTGGGGCGGGTGGAGGCATGCCGGGGGCGCCAGGGGCCTCCTCCGATCCCCAGATCTTGCGGCGGAGGACTTCCTGGATGGGTATGTCGGCCTTTTTAGGAACCGCCGTGGAGAAATGGCGGGGAGTGGTGGTGGTGGTGGGAGTGGGGCGGCAGACCGTACGGCAGCATGGGCGTGCCGTCACTGGGAGGGCTATTCGGGGGATTGCTCGTCGCATTGTGTTGTATCGCCTGGTGGGTGGGGTGGTGGCCGATAGGGTGTCTCATATGTGGGAATGAAAGTTGAGGCTCAAATTAAGGGAGAATGTGTGGTCACGTGATCGCGGGGTGAAGTGTTTTCAAATGTTTCTGGGGAGGTGAGGGTGCACGAGAGGAGCATAATACAAGGACTGTCAGTCTACAAGTAGTCCGATTGAAAGCAAAGTCAAAAGTCCCGGATATGAGGTCAAGCACAACATTCAATTAACCCCACCCACGCCATCCCAATCGCAAACGCCGCCGAAACGCGAGAATAAAGAGTAGAACATGATGTGGGAACAATACGGTAGTGAGAGGCTATTATTCGCTCAAGTCCTGGAGCAACTCCACCATCCGGCGCTTTCTGTCCAGCATCTCGGGTCCTGCGGAACTTGGATGGCAAAAGAATGGAATCCCCATCGAGCCGAATTCCCTCGTCATGTGGGCTACCATCTGCTCGCTGCGGGTGTAGACCTTCCTGTCGAATATGGCGAGCTCTTCGGCCGCGCTCTCAGCGGTCTGCGATGTTCGCGTCAGCAGTTGGCAAGCCGAGTGGGGGGGAGGGGGGCTAGGGTAAGGTATTGTGCTCACTGGTTGAACTATAGCTTGCTGAGCAAGCGGTAAGGTGCCGAGTTTGCGTCTAGGAGGAGAGTTCAGTAAACGTGATAGTGGGAAGGTGAGTAAGGAAGGAAACTCACAAGACGTCTTCAACCTTCTTTCCACTCTCCTCCCGCGCTTTGTGCCTGTTGACTATTTCCTCCCTGGCATGGAACCTGGTCGCAGTCAACAAAGATACCCATTATATAATCGGTCCCTTGACAGAGCTACGTACCATGCCTTCTCATGCTCATGCTGAGAATTGATCATCTATAACTATCCGTTAGCCTTACCTCCCTTTCCGCCTGCCCATAGCCACCCCATATCCCTCCCGCTCCAATGTGTGCCCACCTTTTTGATGCCAGACATGATAGCCTCATTCTTACACAGCTCCCTCATAACATACCTCAATGCCGCATTCCACTCCTCAATCTTGCTCGGATCAAGGGCCTCCCCGGAGACATGAGCAGACGGAGGAGGGTAGGTCTGTCTCGGGTCCGGCGTGACGGCTGGAGGGGGGCTATACGAATCATCATCTTCACCACTACGGACCGGAGGCGGCGGTTGCGGTGCCGATGCTGCTAGGATTTGGAGAATTCTTGTGAGGTCGTCGTTGGCTGCCATTAACCTTTCTATCGTAGCGGTACCGCACTCGTCCGAATTTATCGAGGGAAGAAAAAACAACAAAGTATAATATCGCTACTGAGGAACTTCTCTCCCTGCACGCCGGGTTTTTCTTTTTTCCCAATAAATTGCACGACTTTCAAGGTGTACGGTAACTAAGTTTATACTTCCAGGAGGTGATGCCGGTATTGTGCACCGTAGAGGGGGAAAGGGGGGGGGGAGTTTCAGGTCGGGTCGAAGTTGGTTGAGCTGGGAAGACGCGACTTTCTATTTTTTTTATTTTCTCAGCCTACCGTACGGTACTTCAGGATACTGTACGATTAGAGTACCTTACAGTACCGGCAGAGTAAGTCACTTGTACCGGGGGGAAAGGGGGAGAAGGATACGGTCCTCGAGTATGGTATTGTGGGGAAAGCCAGCCAACGGAGGGAGGGAAATGTCAGGCTCGATAGAGGAAAATCTCCGCGGCGACGTGAGGAAGGGAGGAGAGGAAGCGAAGAATTGAATGTCTAGAGTTATAGCCAATCCGAAGTCAAGGAAAAAAAAACATTTTTCCACTTTTACCGACACCATCTCCTGCTCATCACCCCACCACCAAGTTGGCACCAACACCACCCAACTCGATGGGAGCTCGCCCAACCCGAGCCAAGAAAAAAAACAATCAACCGAAAGGAAACAGCTACCATCCGGCAACGACGGCACCCGCTCCATCACTCATCATATCCTTTCCCTCCGTTATTTCGTTCCGGCTGTAGACAGATAGAACAGGATATATACCATGGCTCCCCCTCCCCGCTCCGTCGCTGATGCTACCCGCTTCACGCCCACCGGCCCCCACGCCTTCACCCGAACGCCAATGTCCGCCGCGGCCGCGGCCACGACCGGTGAAACGCCACAGCAGCGGGTCGCTCGTCTTCGTGAGGCGGCGAGGAGAGCAAAGTTGGATCAGATCAGCGCGGTTGACAAGATCATTGATCGGGGGAGAGTGTGGGCGGATAAAGCTCATAGGATTGTGGCTATCAGCTTGATCGGCGCTACCGGTCTGCTCCCCTTCCTTTCCTCCCTCCTCAATCGAACGGATTGATGTGGCGGCGAGGGTGGCGGGTGAATGGGAGATGGGAATTGACAATATCACTGTTTTGTCTCTAGTGCTCTGCGGAGGATTTACGATATTCGCTAGCATCGACATGGTCTTGTACGCCAGGAGGAAGAAGCGAGCATATGTACGCCCTCCATGCACACTCCCCGCAATGTTCTCCCGAACTGACCAGGACACTACGTACAGCTCGAAGAACAGAGAGCGCTCAAAACCACCGACTCCGCTGCAGCTACAGATAACGAATCCGGAGCCCTGGCAGCAACAGCAACACCCACCACCACCACCACCATCATCACTACCACACCCACCTCCCCTAGCGGTGAACCAAACACGATAACGGGTAAGCTAAAGACCTGGGCATTGAGCGGCCTCACGCCCGCAGAGAAGGAGGAAGAATTGCGCAGACAGGGTATGGAATCACACGTCGCTGCCAAGGATGATACTCTCAGTCGAACAGGCCCAGATGATCCGGCCAAGGACGAAAGGGGGAAGGCTGGGGGCGGCGGAGCGCTCAGTTCCATCACGGGTTGGTGGAGCGGACGGTGAATGGATGCAATGTAGTGTATTTGAGGTTGATGGACGGGTTCGCGAGCATGTCTTGTACAGAAATCATATCGCTGATAGAGCGAATGGCCCGGTGAGTTGCAATTGCAGTTGGGCGGTGAGGTGGTGGCGGCGATGCATCATCAATTCTTTGCCATTCGGCAGGCACCGGTGTTATGATATCGCTTCCTCCGCCGAAGTAGGGCAGAATTGGGACAACCAAAGGCCAGGAGATGTTCGATGCTGTCCTTGTAGTCACGGAAGGCGAAGAACAACTGTCCTCTCCGAGAAACACACGTCCGAACCCGTGCCGCAGTAAGATAGTGCAACAAACCCGGCAAAGTATCACAAAGCCTCACTCGAAATCCCGTTTCACCGCAACCGTATCATACCGCTCGTGCCCGGGACCAAGACACAAGGGGGTCAGATGGTTGAACGCGTCGACAAACCAACCGCCCAGCCTGCTCCCCTCCCCATCCATCATCCATTCCACCCTCAACCGGAGAAAGGCTGAAGGGACCACCAATGGACGGCGAGATCACCACTCCAGCTCCCCCGTGACTCCCAACCCCTACGGCCCAACTATCCTCCGGTGCGGCCCCCAAATTAAAGTTTGTGTCAAAATGCTCCCCATGCGCGCTTGGCCTTGACTCTGGGAAGTCGTCGGGTGGGAGGACGCGGTAGAGTAAAAAGCAAATGTCATGTACCTGTATCATATCATGCTCCCGAAATAAAGAACTGCACAGTTTTTTTTTTTTTTTTATTTCATACGTTTATTGATTATGGTTCAAAAACCTGCATGCACCTCGCGGTATGGCAATAGAAAAAACCTTAATTTCACATGCATGAACAAAAGAAACATATCTTTCCCGGCTTCCAAGCCTCCCTAGGCCCACACAGACCAAGCCTGGTAAATGACCCCCATTTCGAGCTAATATAGCCCCTCGCATCGCTTCAGATGACTAACAGATTGGAGCCGACGCCCAATTCGCATACTTTGGGCCCATACATGGTAAAGTAATAAACCCCCAACAGGCTTCCAACCTGGGAGGCAAACAAGGTATAGCCGTGCATACGCCGATGCAACAAAAAGAAAAGAAACCAAAGCCCTAAAGAAAGCCAAGGTCAGGTAGTTGACATATCCACCTCGTCGTCAACCCCTTCCCCATCCCCTAACGGGGCTGGTTGGGGGCGAAGGGGGCAGGTAAGGGAGTGGGCGTCGTGAGGTCCATCACAGTTAATAC